CCTGTGAAAGTTTTTGAGCTGCCCTGCCAGCCTTTTTGTTTATTTAATAAATATTTTGTTAAACTTTGGAGTTTTGCCTGCACCCTGGGTTTGTCCCTGCCTGCACCTCACACATGTAAATACATGTCCCAACGCATTTTAAGTCTGATATGAAACTGATCATTATGATAACGAGGCAGCATGTGGTCACGCTAACTGACGTCAAGCCAAGGCTAGACCATCTTGTTTCACAGCGGTTTTATGCAGCCTACCCGGACTGGGAAGGACATGGCCCATCAGGGAGATCAAAGCTGCAGTAGAACTCGTTGAGGTTGTTGGCCAGGTCAATGAATTGAGACATAGCRACGGTATGATCTGACATTGATGACCTTTGACCGTGGAGTTCACCTTTAATCTCTGTGGAAGTTGTTCTGGACTTTTTTGTTCGTATAATCTGTCTCTTCAGTTTGTCATCAGGTGTCTTCCTGTGGACAAGTGCAGGGAGGTTGTCTCCAGTCCTGTGGACCTTCTGAAGAATCTGAGCAGCTGTAGTGACAGGAATATCAAGCTGCTCGGAGATGCTCTTATACAGTAGTCTTTATCCTGAACATTATGTCACTCATTGAGACCCATTGAAGACGGATTTGTCTTCAGTTCAGTTCAGAGCCTGTTTAACCCTAAGATACTTAAAGGCAGACAAACTTACCTTCAGCTTCTTCTGATAAACCAGCTGACTTTTCTGGATGGAGAACCACCGTCTGTGAGAGGAGGGAAGCCAAATATCATATAGATAAATATCTGTAAGAAAAATCGTGTTCAATAAATTGGAAGTCAGAATAAAARAGCAGAAAATCAGTRGATTCTCTTCTAGAAGGTTTATTCACAGTTGGATTTGATGGGGTGTGGTGGCTAATAGGGATGGCCTGGGCATTTTCTTGGCTGGTGGAAGGGAGATCAAAGGGGCAGTAGAACTTGTTGAGMTTYTTGGCCAGGCTCTGATCCTCAACAGCAGGAGGGGCAGCTGGGTTGTAGTTGGTTAGCCATCTAAGCGCCCTCCACAATGAGGTAGAGTCATCAGAGAGCTGTTGCAAGAGACTGTCAGAATACACAAGTTTAGCTTTTCTCACCTCCCTGCTAAACTTGTATTTTGCCACCTTGTAGCTCTCTCTCTCTCCCCTCCTGAGTGCTGTCTCTTTCTCCAGTCGGAGACACCTGAGATTGCCTGTGAGTCCAACTCTCACCAGAAACGAGTCAGAATTACTACCCGCAATGTGGACCAAACTCTGGCACCGGTCACACAGGGACCTAACAGCCCATATCAACGGGCCTGTTACCCCATACCCTCGGAGTACCCCCCACAGGAGTCCCCGAGGGACATGGTCGAATACCTTCTCCAAGTCCACAACACATTTGTAGACTGGTTGGGCGAACTCCCATGCACCCTCCAGGACACTGCTGAGGGTGTAGAGCTGGTCCAGCATTCGACGACCAGGACCAAAACCACACTGCTCTTCCTGAATCCGAGATTCGATTATCTGACAAACCCTCCTCTCCAGGACCCTTGAACAGACTTTACCAAGGAGGCTTAGAAGTGTGATCCTCCTATAGTTGGAACACACTCTGCGGTCCCCATTTTAAATAGGGGGACCGCCTCCCCGGTCTGCCAATCCAGAGGAACTGCCCCTGATGTCCACGCAATTTTGTAGTCACYTCAACCAACGCAGCCCCACAACATCCAGAGTCTTAAGGAACTCCGAGCAAAACTCATCCACCCCCGGTGCCTTTCCACAAGGAGCTTTTTAACCACCTCAGTGACCTCGGCACCAGAGATTGGAGAGTCTGACCCAGGTTCCCCAGGCTTTGCGTCCTCATGGGAAGATGTGTTGGTGGGATTGAGGAGGTTTTCAAAGTATTCTGCCCACCGACCCACAACATCCTGAGTTGAGGTCAGCAGTGCACCATCCCTACCATAAACATTGTTGGTGGCGAACCGCTCCCCCCCCCCGAGATGCTGGATGGTGGACCAGAATCACCTCAAAGCCATACAGAAGTCTTTTTCCATGGCCTCTCCAAACTTCTCCCATTAGGGATGTCCTGATCCAGATTTTTTGACTCCCAGTACAATATAATTTTTTAAATAGTTAGTCTTGCCGATACCGATCCGATTTAACTTTATTTCTTTATTTCTTTCCAACTGACAAGGTTGGTTGTATTAAAGCGAGCCCTGCTGTTCCCACCATGAGAAACATGGTTTTCCATTGAAAGGATGATTCAGACAGAATTAGTAAAAATACATACTTGGTTTWAGCTTAGCAAARTATCACTAAATTTGGACACAACAAATTAWATYATATTCAGTAATAGAAAAAGAATGGTTGATGTTTTATTTAAAGTTGATGGTGTGGAGATCTYTAAAGTTAGTGAAGTAAAGTTTTTGAGTGTTATTATTGATGAAAACCTACCTGGAAACCTCATAAATTACTTAAGAACAAAAATAGCAAAATCTATTGCAGTACTACATAAGGTAAAGGAGTTATTTAACAATAAAGCACTGTTTATATTATATAACGCAATAATTGTTCCACATTTGATTTATTGTGTTGAAATTTGGGGTAAGGCATGTAAAACATTTACCAATTCTATCTTTATTTTGCAAAAAAAAGTGCTATTAGAATTATTACCAGAAAACATTTTTTGTTAGTAAAATTCTTGTTGTTGTTATTAAACAGTCTYTTGTTGTTAAGAAACATCCGGTTGTTGTGAAAAACAGTCTATTGTTGTTAGTAAACAGCCTATTATTCGTAATAAACAGCCTGTTGTTGTTAATAAAAAACCTGTTGTTAATGAACAGTCTGTTATTGTTGATAAACAGCCTTTTGCTGGTAATAAATAATATGTTGTTAATAAACAGTTTGTTGGTGTTAATAAACAACCTGTTGTTGTTAGTAAACGTCATGCTGTTGTTAATAAACATTCTATTGTTGGTAATACCAATCCTGTTGTCGAGTTAATAAACAGCTTGTTGTTAAAAACATCCTGTTGAACTTTTGTACAAATTAAAAAATTGGTAAATGTGGCTGTGAAAAATCAATTTATTACATATTTTAATTTAACTCTCAAAGTCTGCTAGCAGGTTCATTTCTACAGACATGTTAACAGCCAAATTATGTTGCAATTTAAAGCCAAAATATGTTGTGAATGAAAGCTGAATTAAGTCTTGATTTAAAGCCAAATTATGTTGTGATTTAAAGCTGAATTGTGTTGTGATTTAAAGGCATTTTTTTTTTATTTAAAGCCAAATTATTTTGTTATTTAAAGCAAAATTATGTTGTGATTTAAAGCTGAATTGTGTTGTGATTTAAAGGCATTTTTTTTTTATTTAAAGCCAAATTATTTTGTTATTTAAAGCAAAATTATTTTGTTATTTAAAGC